TCCTTCGGGTTGCGACCAATTCGGGGTGCGACCAGAGTCACAGAACGAATTAAGTTCGTAAACCGAGGTACCACTGTATATATAACTTTTCCATCTTGAGAGGCAGATTACAAGTATTGGGAGTGGGGGAATCAATGCAAGGAATAAAAATTATAATTTGTGAGCTTGTGGGGAGGCTGGTAAAGGAGTGGAATGACATAAGCGGTCAGGAGGGCCACGGGGGTGGTCAACAAAGTCAAGATGATAGCCACGCAGTCAAGGGAGGGGTTTAATCACACAGGTCTGGCTACAATTTTTTTTTTTTTTTTTTTTTTTAACACACCCTTCCCTTCCCTGCTGCCCAGTCAGCTGACAGCTTATTTCATACATGGCAACTGGGAAACCTGGAAAGAAGCATTTCAAAGCATTCCCAAGGGATTCTGCCTTAATTAACTCAAGGGAAATTCACCGTTTCCAAGGTTCTGTATTTACCCAGACTAACATTCAATAGACCTTACTGAAATCTCTGTAGTCCTTTCTTCCTTCCTTGATCTTGTCCAGCTGTCTGGAGCTGTGTAATTAATACACCACCAAGCAATATATCAAAATATTAGTGCAAAACTAAAATTTTCATTAAAGGCAATATCAACAAATCCATGAGAATAACTTAAGATTTTGATTCCACAGATATTGCTCAGGCTTTGGAGGTACAGCTCAGGATCTGGAGTTGGGCCTAAACAGGAACGGGAAATCAGTGCAGCTAATTTCAAACAGGTGTAATGTGGTCTGCAAAGAACAAACTAGAGTGGTTTTTGCTACTGTACTGAACAAATTATGTTTCCTCAATAGTCTAAGTGTGGCCCCATGTAGAGTGTGTTACAGTAATCTGAATGAAAGGCTCTCTGGTCTTTGGATAGGTTTATCCAGGAGCAAGGCTGCCTCTGAAGCTTTCAGATTTTTTATCCTTTTTTTTTTTTTATAAATAACTCCAGGCGGTGAACATACCTAATACTCCTCTCTCCTCCTATTTTCCGCACAAGAACCACCTGGTCATGTTATTCTCTACAAGCTAAGATCCCAGGAGTCTACCTTGTGAGTCAATAGCCTGTTGCATCCCACCAACTCAGAGGTTCCATTTATCAAATGCATCAAGCCCAGTCTCCCAACTTGACTGGGTCCAGCAGCCGAGCCTGCTTGCTGCCTCATCTGGATAGTCCCCCTCTTTGTCTCATTCCAACAATCATCCATGATCAATAGATTTTGAGCCCCACATAGGCCTTCTTGCAATAACAGAGGCGATGGATAACTGCAGCTCAGTTCTTGATATCCAAGATTTGCTTAACCCCTCAGAAAAAAATAAGGGTGAAACATGGAATGGAGCACCAGTGGAGGGGATGGGTAAAAGATGTGGTGGGTAATGAATGAGACGCTGTGTGTCTCTTGTAGCTGCATGAAGCTGGTTGCCTTACCTACCACATCTGTATCAGCCCCTTTCGGTTGGAGGACTAGGTCACAGGCACAGCGGAAGGATAGGAGATAAGCCAGTTATAGATGATCCAATATGCCCTGATGGAACAATCCTCAAGAGCAAAAGGGGTTCTAGATGCCAAGAGGGCTGTGTTTTGGGAAAGCACAGGAAGCATTCAAGAAAATGAACCTTTAATTTATTGCAGAACGTTCAACATTCATAAATGTAAATACCTTTGAGGTTTTGGATAGAGACAAATGGGAATGGGAGTGGTTTGCCTCTGGAGGCCTCCTGCTCCCAATCCAAACTTTAAAACTTGCCAAAACTGCAGAAAACATTGGCCATACCCATTCTGGATACATCACAGAGCACCAGATTGCCTACTGCAGCCCTTTAGAAGGTTAGGAGACATGAATTGTAGCCCCCAACTCCTCAAACATTACTAATCCCTGGGAAAGCCCAAGTTAAGAACCACCCCCTTATCTCACAGGGATTTTAAGAAGAGGCTTCTCATTTAGGAGCACCATTAAATCATCCATCCACCATTAGGTATCCTCTAGGTGGGATGGATTTCAACTCTAAAAATTCCAAGATATTATTCTCCAGCACACCAGATTGAAGATAGCTGCTTTAAGGATCAGGCTGTCATAAAGACAGAAATTGGGCCTTTCCAATCCTCTGTAGCTGGAGGATTGGGAGGGTATGGAAATGAGGTGGAAGGAAACTGAGATCTGGATTGAGAATTACAAATGTGATGGAGCTGGGAAGAGTACAGCCTACAAGCAAGGTTGAATGGTTTTAATGACAGAGAGTAAGTTGGGCCTTCCCCTGAAGCCAAAAGAAGGGGTGGAGGGATTCTCCAGAAAATGAAGCCTCCAAGAAGGCAAACAACAGAACCCCTCTATCTGCATCAAAAAAGGACAGCCGCTGTCCAGCATAATTCAGAGATACTCGGATCCTCTTGAGATCCCAGCTGATAGGCAGGATGGGGAAATTAGGAGGGAGAAGAATTGCACAGTGGTCTCCCCACTTTGCCATTGCCCAGATTCCTTCTGCAGGATCTATGGAGACAACGCCTTTGCGCCTCACAGAGGCCCTGGCAACCCCCAGGCCCCAGCCATCCTCATTCCCTACAGTGACTTCCCAGTAATACCTGCCTGCCTTGAATTTCTCATGCCCTAGCACAAAAAGACATTGGTCAAATCTTTGACAGCAATGGAGCTTAATCCTAGGCTTGTTTCCCAGGATCATACTCTTCCAATCCTCAGACAGAGCAAGTCTGGGGTGAGCTGTGTCTGGATCCAAAGTCACTTGGGCTACAAGGAGGAAAAACAGAAAAAAAAAAAAGCATGAGCAGAATAATTGGTGAGCAAAACTCACCTCCTGAGCCTGGAGACATTAATAAAGAGAAAGTGACTCTGGAATAAGCCATTCTGAGTTTGGTACACTTCTATATTGTTCAGAAAGGTTTATTCTATAGTTTGAATGTTTTGTGACAGAAAGTTCTGCACGTACCCTTAAGATGTACAATACATTGTTGAAAAAACAATGAGAGTTCTCTGGTAATTTTAACCCTGTCTTTTACATCCCCCTAACACAAGCAGATGTGGCCCTGTTATTTCACAGCCCTTTCAAATTTCTCATGGTGGAGCCATGTTTGGATCCTCGGATCATAAAGTTAGAAGGAATCGCAAGGATACCTAGTTCTACAAACAAAACTAAACACCAATATCCCACATAAAAAGGCGGAGTTTTGATCATATGATCGTAGCTAACATCTTGACTTTTTAAACACACCCTGTGGAGCCCCCAGTGCCAAAAGTTAATCAGATTTGGCCCTAACAGGATAAGAAAGGAATACAGTAAACAGGTTCTTATGAATTTGGTCCTTCCTTGGGCCCAGAAGCTTACCTTTACGCAGCAGGAATCCAGAGTTTATCACATCTGGGGAAGGAAAGGTAAGAATGAACACTGCTGCAGAAGAGAATAATTATTGTAGGCTGAAGGCTGGACTTGGCTTTTGAAAGAGGTGTTGTAGGCTATACAGGTAGCTCTTGCTTAACAACCGTTCTTTTAGTGACCATTCAAAACTACCACAGTGCTAAAAAAGTGATTTAGACCGGTGCCCAAAGTTATGACCTTTGCAGTACCCCCGCAGTCACATGATCACATTCTGGGTGCTTGGTAACCAGCTCGTACTTATGACAGTTGCAGCATCCCAGGGTTACATGATCACCAATTGTGACCTTCCCAGCTGGCTTCTGACAAGCAAAATCAATGGGGAACCACGATTCACTTAACCATGTGATTTGCTTAACGACCACATGATTCATTTAACCACGTTGATTCACTTAACAGCCACTGCAAAAAAGGTTGTAAAATCAGGTCCAGTCACATGATTTATTTAATGACCGCATCGCTTAGCAACCTAAATTCCAGTCCCAACTGTGGTTGTTAAGCGAGGACCATCTGTACTCCAAATAACAGTCAAGAGCCGAAACACAGAAATGGCTGGGATCAGAATAAAAACCAAATGTGATTCAATTTAAAGTTAACTTACATTACGTATCATTAATATTACTCTCTAGTAGCAATTTTTTTATTATTATTCTGTAACAGTAATACAATTTGACAGCAAATTTCAAAAAATTAGAATCCTAATTTAGTTGCATAGAACAGCCCCACCCACCAACCTTTTTGTCACAGAAAAGTAACAAACACTTCATCACAAGTTAGGGTGGTTGTAGGACTTAGAAACATCCAACTTTGGCCCAACGCAGACACAGAAGTATTTGAGGCAGGAATGATGGGAGTTGGGATGTAGAGTTCTAAATGACTTAAAGTCAAACTTCATAGATGTATTGACCCTCAAAGAGCCCTCAACAGTCCACTAGTCTACTTAGTATTCACTTACCCATCACCAATATTGATGGGTATTTTCCAGAGCCCAATTTAATGATCAACCATCAGCAACATTAGAAAGCATCACACCACCTCAGTTTCCCAGGGACTCTGTCCACGTGAACCGGATGAGATCGAGTCAACTGAACGTACTCTTGAGTACTGTCAATTTTACTCTTGATTTGACTTATTTTAACTCAGCCTCTTTTAAAAAAAAAACAAAAAAAAACCTCCAGACCATTCAAACAAATTGTATACTTAGTTCTTTTCAGCTGATAGAAATTCTAAGGTCACATTTTAGTTGCCAAATCTGTTGTATGACTGTACAACATGGACTTGAAGTGAGAGTCAGGACGTTATACTGATGATCACAGCATACTCTGATTAGTGCACATTTTTCATTTTAACCACCAGGGTCTTGTGCATTCTGGTCTATGACTATAGCGAAGATGGATTTGATTCTATGATGGGAGTTGTAATTCAGCACTCCCGAAAACAAGAGAGTTCAGGGAGGCTGATTTTAAATAAGCTGTTCTGTGAACTTTTTACAGCAATTCATATTTTTAAAGAAAGAAAGAATTGGGGCATTGCCCTCTGAATCATATTTCCAACCTTTAAATTGCTTCACAGCATTCTGCAAAATAGCATTTAAATCACACAGGTCCCAGAGTTCCCATTTCAGTGCTGCTGGAATCGTCACTGGGCCACCAAATGTGTCTTTTGTCAAGAATCTGGAGAAGAAAAAAAGTCACTTACCAAACCATGAAATTCAGAATACACAGGAATCACAAAGAGAATAAGGAGCAAAAGCATTGCAGAAGAGGGAGTGACTAATTCACATTTTATACTGTGCCAGGATTTACTTAAGCATAACTCACTGATGTATCAATAATCACCTAGGATCACATAAGCCAAAAATAAACCACATTACAGCTAGCATAGCGTGAACTAAACCAGTGGATGCTAAGACACAAACTTGAATCATGTAATTACCTGGGCCTTATCCCCAAATAAAAGGAGAGGAACATAGGAAAACATCTCATAGCTAAATGAATCCATTAGTCTACCTCACCCAATATAACTTCTGTACATGGTCTGGATTCACACAGCATAAACTATGGTTTCATCATGGTTTGTTGAATAAGCCACAATTGGTTGGTTTGTACATGTAATGATACATAAAAATGACTATGGGAGGCAGGTGGAAGAGCTGCAGACTAGACAAAGGTCAGACAACTGGCAGCTGAGTCTGCAGAAGGAATAGGGACATGGCAAGTCTCAGAAGGGACCCTCCTTAGTTTCTTGGACTGTAAAGGTGAGAATGGGGGGAGAGATGTACTTTCAGACTTGCAAGATTCTGTTAATGTAACCTTACAGTAAAGTTAGAACTAGTACTTCTAGGTGTGCTTCTAGACCAACTCGCAAGGCTGACAATGCATGGTTAACCATAAATTACACTTCTCCAACCCACAATGGCTGGACTCACACAGTACACACAGCCAAATCAATAGTTTAGTGCAAGATGTCAATCCAATAACTGCTATGATGGCATTACTTGTACAAAGGGGACCATCTCCACCCAAGAAGAAGAGTGGTTCCAGAAGAAAATACTATTCTTGAAGGATGGAAAAAGATGCATGCAACTTTTGACCTTTCAACAGTACATGAACTCTTAAGACTACTAACAGCCATTTTCCAGGTTTCAAGGCAGAAACTTATCCAAACCTACCTGGAGACAGTGGAGACTGAATCTGTGGCCTTCTGCATCCAAGGTGGATATTCTGCCACTTAGTTAACAACTCCATCTTTAGGAACCCACTAACAGATGTCTTCTAAGCATTCATTCAGTCTGGGACATGTAATCAGTACCAACATCAAGCTACTGAGTCCTTTCACATAAAAGAGTGAAAGTTTTTTAGCTGTTGCTATTGTTGGACAATTAAGAGGTAAGGATGTGATTTACTATGATCCCAATCTACTCTCCACTATACACAATTTAGGAGCAAGATGAAGTATTATCCAACAGACTTTCAGAATAAGCCCTCAACAAATAGTGTATTTTACCACCTTTCTAGTTCACTTTTACACTGACCCACCTGGCCCCAAACAAGACCAAGCTTTTCTTTTCCTACAGAAGATTAATTCCTAGTGTACAGTCACTTACTTCTTCAAGGTGCTTCCAGTATCCTAGAATGGATGGAAAGAGAAAGAAGAGGAATCTCAGTGCCCATCATAAGCCATTCAACAGATACTTCTCACATCCTGAATATTCACAATGTGTCTCCAGAATCATTAGAGGAGAAGAGTTGGACAAAATGGAGGCAGAGAGAGTGAACTGGAGAAACAAACTCACATCTCTCATACTTCCTAAATGTTGGAGGTTTATGCCCACTCTTCCTCCAAGGAACACTGCCTAAGGACAGATGTGAGAACTCCTGCCCATTTCTGCCCTATGGTCTTACCTGTAGGAGTTCATTTATTGGTTGCTTACACTTCTCCTGCATTTCCCAAATAATGGTCTCAAGGGAGCAGAGCTCCTTGGAGAGCCGGTCAATATGCTCATTTTTCTCCCACATAATCTTCTCTTCCACTTCCTCCATCCTAGTGAGCAGAATGTTCTCATGCTCCTCAAGAAACTGGTGCAGTTCCTCAAAATCAGCTTTCACAAGGTCTTTGTCTATTTCTATTTGCTCCTATAACAAACCCAAGAAGAGACAGAGACAATTAATCTGTTTCCCTATTGGGAAAAACACATTTACAAACAGTAACAAGTCCTATCACCTTCAACCTACTTTTGAAGAAACAGAATTTGGATAGTCAAAACACTTCACATTACATCTCTTTGTAAACTTTGCTGGAATAGGCAACTGTTATATACAGAGCAGATAATAACTTGACTAAAATGACTAAGTGGGTTGTCAAGCTAAGGTTTGACAGTAGCTAGGGAATTCCTTTCCTGTAATCTTAAATCAAAACCCTCTCTTTGGCTGCAAATTACAGCTGGATTGTACATCTTGCTAAGTTTATTGTACATCTTGTACATCTGTTTTAAGTTTAGGGCTACATGAACCCAGCTAACTATGGTTTGTTTAATAACCAAGATTAAGCAAAACAAAGCTTATTGCAAGTTATGAATCCAGATATAATATCCTGATTCACATATTACTCTAAACCAATGTTTGTCAAACTTGGCAGCTTTAAGATGCATGGATTTCAACTCCTTGCTGGCTGGGCAATTCTGGGAGTTGAAGTCCACACATCTTAAAGTTGCCAAGTTTGAAAAACACTGCTCTAAACTAACATATCCCAATCTTGGCAGATGTGTGGTTTCCAAATTTCCAAAAGTCTCAGAAAAGGCCTTGCGGGCTGACAAATTATTGAAACTAAAATCCTGACATCTTGTGAATGCAAAGGCTGCAGAACACTGCCCTAAACCAGACACCTTTAAGTCAAAACAAATAATCTACAGTGCATTGTAACTTAAAAGTTAGATGCCAACAAAGCCACCATGACCTGTTCAACCAAATTAAATGTCATGGCATAACAGAGTAGATGAACACAGTCACCTGAACTGATGGGACTTCAATTGATCACAATTAATTTAATTGATCAAAATGAGAAATAAAGCTGTGTGCCCCCACATACAAACATACTCCATGAAGAAAACCATTTATTTCATGGGGGCTGGGTCATAAATCCAAATTCAATAATCAAATTTAAATTTTCACAGGTATCCAGGGCTGGTTCCCTTCCAAGCTGCATTTCCACCGTGCTTGGACAAGTCCCCATCCAGGAACAGCAGGAACAAGTTCCCATAATGACCTTGTCTTAGTGAGCCAGTGCCCGCCACCACATTTCCAAATCTCCAGAGTTTGAGAATCCCTGATCTAAAAAACATTTTCAGTAGCCTAATGTAAGGATAACTAAGGATAAGAACTTTCATTTTTTGTTTCCCAACTTCCTCAAATGTGTGAGGATTCCTACTCTTAAATATTTCTTTCTCTTTGAAGCAAGTTTTTGTGTAACATTTTAATTAAGGCAACATGAAAAAAAAATGAATATGCACACACTAAAAATCACAATGCCCTCTCAATCCTCTTTGAAGCAAGTTTTTGTGTAACATTTTAATTAAGGCAACATGAAAAAAAAATGAATATGCACACACTAAAAATCACAATGCCCTCTCAATCAACTATAAGCTTTTCTGGGAGATTTTCAAAACATACAGAGCTGCTACAATTCTACGTTTCCCTGCCCAGAATCCAATCCTAATTCATGGTGTCCATCAATATATAACACCCAATGTGGTCTTATTGTACTACTGGAGAAATGGGCATGTCACATCCCTGCAAACATTTTTCGACTATAATACCATCATTCTTGACTTCTGACCAAGCAGGTAGAGGCTGAAGACATCTGGAGTCTGAAAACACCTGAGGGCATCACATTCCCACTAGGTACCCCCCCCCCCCCCCCATTTTCACTGCCCTTTTCCAAAAGTTGTCAGTTATCTATCCTTAAAAATGTTTTGTTTTTTGTTCTAGTGAAAGACTGAACCATTCTAAAGAAGTATCAGAGCAGCAGCGGCTATTGCATGCAGCATTATTTTTTTCAAATTTCACTATGTGCCATCAAATCATTGTTGACTCATAGCAACCACATACACAGATTTTCTCCATGAGGATCCGTTCCTAAGCTGGTCTTTCAGGTCTTCCAACAGTGCATCCATTGCCACTGTATACAGTCCATCCCCCTTGCTGCTGGCTGTTCTCTTCTTCTCTTTCTGTCCACGTTTCCCAGCATTAAAGCCTTCTCCAGAGAGCTGGGTCTTCACAGAATGTGTCCGAAGTAGGATAATTTGACCCTGGCTACTTGGGCCTTGAGTGAGAACTCTGGGTTGATTTGTTTGATGACCCTTTTTTCTTGGTTGCCCACGGTATTCGCAGCAGTCTTCTCCAACACCAAAGTTCAAAAGGGTCAATACATTTCCTGTCCTGCTTCTTCAAAGTCCAACTTTTGCTTTCATAGAGTGTCATAGGGAACACCGCAGCTTAATTACAGCTGCCTACTTCCCAGTTGAGAGCCAGTTTGGTGTAGCAGTTAAAGGCAACAGGCTAGAAACCAGGAGACTCTGAGCTGTAGTCCTGCCTTAGGCACAAAGCCAGCTGGGGGACTTTGGGCCAGTCACTCCCTCTCAGCCTTAGGAAGAAAAAGGCAAGGGCAAACCACGTCCCAAACTCTTGCCAAGAAAACTGCACAGACCATGGACTTGTGCTTGTAGTCACTAGAAGCAAAGATTGACTCAAGGCACTATTATCATTCCCAGTTAACACTGTCACCTACCATCAGACTTTGGCATTCATATTCCATGTTTGACTGAAGTCTCAAAATCTCATCTTTTTCCTTCTTTAGAACATTCAGGCAACAGCAAAACAGATCCTGAAAGTAAAAAAGAGCAGAAAGTAAGTACTCACTCTCTTCATCCATAAAACTGGTTAATCAGTTGAAATCAGTCTGAGAAAATCCTTCAGGAATATTTCCTATCCCTTTCCTCAAGCCTCCATCACTCTATCCAGCTTTGTGCTTTTTAATCAATGGGCTTGCAACAAACACAAGCACACATCGCAGTTGTTAATTGATGAGTACTCATAACCTGTCTTACATGTAACCTGCACCTACCTAACAACCTAACTTCCCCTTCTTTCCCCCCACCTCACCCCAATTTAAATCGTAGAACAGCTTAACCACTCCATGCACCTGATGAACTGAGCTGCAGTTCCCAAAAGCTTATACCTTTTAATAAAGTGTTACTCAGAAAAGATACTAATTTTTGATTTTCCTTATTTACTAGGTCTTCCCCAATATTCTCAGGTAGTCACATAAAACTCCTGCTATTACTGCACCTGTATGAGGCTTTTACCCACAAGCTGACAATTTCCCCTTTTTTCACAGAAGCATGATTGTAACCACACCACCACAAATCTTGAACACTCCATTTCATCAAAGCTAATTCGGGTTACACAATTCAATCCTAATATGTTGCCTTATTGCAAAAGAATACAGGTAGTTCTCACTTACCAACGGTAATTGGGACCAGGAACACCACTGCTAAGACATATGGTCATAAAGCACAATGTCACATGACTGCACCAATTTACAAAGGCAGTTCCAACAGTCCCAGTTGCCATTGGGCAAATCCAATGCAGTCACAGCATCCTGCAATCACATGATTTCCATTTGCAACCTCCTGCTGGCTTCCCCATTGACTTTGCTTGTCGGAAGCCAGCAGTGAAGTTTGCAAACTGCAATCACGACTACAAGATGCTGTGACAATTCAGTGTCTGAATTGCAATCACATGACCACAGGGATGCTGCAATGGCCACAACTACAAGGACTGGTCCTAAGTCTCTCTCATTCAGCGCCACTGTAACTTTGAACAGCCACTGAACGAGTGGTTGTTAAACAAGGACTGCCTGTGAGCTATTTGATCCACATGCATTTACAAAAGGGAACATTACAGCACAGAAGAGAACATATCTACAGGTAGTCCTTGACTTCATTCAGCAACCTTTCAAAATTACAAGGAAGCTGAACAAAGGGGGCTTGTGACCGGTTTGCAAAGCTGCGGCTGTCACAACATCCCCAAGGTCACGTGATTGCAATCCAGATGCTCAGCTCACAATTACGATGCTGCAGTGAGCTGCATTCACATGATCTCTGTTTGCAACCTTCTCTGCCAGTTTCCCACAAGCAAAGTCAATGGGGAGGTTTGCAAGTCACTCCTGTAAGTTGCTCCCACCGCTTTTTCTCCTGAGGAGACCCACTACGGAATAAGAGATCCCAAGGATCTCATACTCTATAGCACCCACCCACTGCCCTTGCTGGCCCACCCACACTGCCCATCACCCATGCTGGCCTGCTAGCACCCCATCATCTCCTCATATTCCTTACCTGGGACTCCTGCCTCTTCCAGCTTAACAACCCACATAGTCCTGGGGTTACAACAGCAATGGGAACTGTCAGGATTGCTTAGCTTAGCAATGGTAAACCCAGTCCCCATTGCTGTCATAACCTGAGCACTACCTCTATCTAGCTATCTCCCAAACCAAATATTGCTAGAAATCAGGAGACTATGAGTTCTAGTCCTGCCTTAGGCTGGGTAAGTTTGGGCCAATCCCTCTCTCTCAGCCCTAGGAAAGAGAAGGCAAGGACAAACCACTGCCGAAAATCTTGTCAAGAAAACTCTGGGATTTGTTGATGTAGTTGCTGGAAATCTTGACTACAGAGTTTTTATCTTTCTCGGCATAGCTTACAATATGCCTACTGCACCCTGTAGAGCTATGTTATACAATAACTATCCAAAATAATGTGTTAGCATACAAGAACTAACATCAAATCTGAACCCAGCTATACCAAACACATTCTGAAATAGGAAGAAGTATTTCAATTGTTACCTGTAAAAGAGAATCTCAGCTTTTGTCTATAGTAGAGTGTTTACAAATGGTAAGGTACAAAATTCATTGTTACAAATAATTGTTTTCTGAAGGAGGTAAGTTTTCACATAAACTGAACATAAAATTGAGGACCCAATTTCAAAATCAAGGGAAAGAATCAGTGAAGTCTGATCCCTACAAAGATTCAAGGTTGGTTGGTGTTGGATACCAAGATCAGCTGGGTAAAGATAGAAAAGCACATAAATCCTACCATAAATGGAAAGGCCCCACCTTGTATTCCAGAGCAGCTCTCTCTGCAGGGATAACTGTGTGAGCTTGATGCTCCTCAGATCCATGACAAACTGAACAGATAAAGACCTGGTCATTCTTACAGAAGAGCTCCAAATGTTCCTGATGTTGCTGACATTTGGTCTCTCCTTCTGCCTGACCTCTTAGTTGCTTGAGTAATCTAATCACATCGTCCAGTTGCTGGTTTTGGCTGAAGCTCTCTTGAGAAACTATCTCCTTGCACTGAGGACAGGCAAGTTCTGTTGGAGACTCTTTCCAGCACCTCATAATGCAATCTTGGCAGAAAATGTGCCCACAGTCAAGAATTATGGGATCCCTGAAATATTCCCAGCAAATGGAGCAATTTACTTCCAAGATACATTTTTTCATGGGGTTGTCAGCAGCCATCAAACCAATTTTTTTAAAAAAATGTGGATTTTTCACTTTTCTTCTTATCTAGATCTCCATAGATCCCAAAAGGAACTTTTCTTTCAGTGCTTCAAGGCTATAATCTGGGAGGAAGGAACAGAAGACAGAAAAATATATCTTTTAATGACTAGCATGGTATTTTAATACCAGCCTTTTTTTGTTGGCAACAGCTTGCTATTTGAATCATATCGTGAGAGGTGAATGTGAAGAAAAACAACTCTTTGCACAACACTTTAAATCATAAATGTGGTTTGTTTGGTTTAGCATGTTGGGTGATCCCAGCTAGTTGTAACTTATCCAGCTAACCTAGCATGGGTTAAAATGCTTAAATCCAACCAACATGTACAAGATTTTACATAGAAAATCACTTAAAGCCAGTTGCATACATACGCAACCATCACACTCTGCACTTTTGAGATAAACAACATTGTGCATATGTAGAAAAGTTCTCATAAAATGTTCAGGCTTTTTTAACTGAGAGCGCATAACATTAAAAATACTGATCAGCTTCATACATCATGCTAAGCCACAGTTTAATTTGGTTTAATCTACAGGTAGTCCCCAGTTTAAGAATGAGTTCCATTCCCAAAGTCTGTCTTTAAGCTGAATTTGTATGTAGGCCAGAACACTATTATTGCATTATATTGTATAAGTAGTATTGTGTAATGAACACGAATCATTGTGTATTTAACTCAAATTTAGCTACAATAGGCTCTGTTCTTAACTATGAGTCATCTGTAACCCAGGCATTCTTAACCCAGGGACTATTGTAATGTAATAAAGGATGTGTTCACACAAAACCTAAACCAGAAAGATGCAACTCAAATGTTGGCTTAAACAAGACAAGTGAACTCATCCATATTCTGCCTACGTTTAGGTCTATTCTCTTTCCCAGGCTGAGGCAGTTAGCCAGTTTGGGAAACTCAGGCACTATATTTAAACCATGGTTACATCTTGACACAAACCAATTCCACCAATTATGGTT